CATACATACATACATACATACATACATACATACATACATACATACATATATATTTTTTTAGTTCATGCATTTTGTTTTTGAAGTAGTTTGATCAAACTGATTGAAAGATGCGTACATTTGTGCACATGCAATTTGATTTGAATCTACAGTTCAGTTATTCCAAAGCATAAGGATAATATTTAATAAAACTAGAATATTTGATATAAATCCTGTAACAGTTCAGGAGTTAATTGTGAAAAATTGTGGTTGCGAAGTTCTTCTTCTCTAATGGGCATTTGCTCAAAACATTATAGATTAACAGAAACATGTTTATAAATCCACAAGCTTTCCTCTAATGATGTCTGTTGAATAGTCATTTAAAATTGTATTTATATAAGTTAATGCCCAGTTTATACTGTGGCGAACCAAAGCAAACCTCCTATTAAAGAGTAATAAATCATTGCCRGGCCTAAACTTATGACCTCACCATCAAGTGTCAAAACAAGTTTGTGTTCCTCTTCAGGCTGATGTGTGAGCTTTAAATTAGTCCAAATTTGATCCTTAAGTTTTGTTTTCTAAAACTATATTTTTCTGCATCTTTATTTTTAACTTAATTGATATTCACATTATTCCTGAATTATTTGCTCAACATGTAATTTTCCAGGTATTGGAGCATGGGAGCACATCATGAAGATGAGATGCAAACCCTATACAAGACTGCAGGTMAGTTGACTCATTTAAGTGTGTGTGTGGGGAGCGGGTGTCTTGTGTTGTCCAGCATGTTCAAAGGTTTAGAAATATACCACTTTAAGACAGAAATAACTCAGTAATGCTAAGTATTTCCCCCAAAATTCCTCTGTTATGCAGCTTGAAGTTTGGCTAACGAGTCCTCCAGACCTTCAGATTTACTGGCATACTATATGTATTTCTGTCATCCATCAGTTGTGGCACCGTGCAATTAGTGGAGAGAAAAATCTRTGACACTCCGCTTCTACTCAGCCATCCAGATTAATCAGCAAGCAACACAATATAATCATGTATATATGTAATTGTTCACATTAAAATAGCAAAAGGTGGTTTCGTKTAACATGCATTTTGTTCATTCCTACGTGCAATTTATGTCTGTTCAGTAGCTTTGCAGAGCCTCTGGAACACAAAGTACCAACTGTACTTGAGGTATATTTWAAAAAAAAAGAAAAAAGCTGAATGCCTGGCACATTCAAAGCACTGGACGGCTCTCTGACTCTGCAAGTTTTATTTATTAAAGCCATGTTTTTTATGATGAGTAAATCATTCTGATGTTTCAAATTGCTACCTCCGCTCCCCGTCTTCTAATTAGGATGGCTCATGTGAACAACGGGGAGAGGATGAAAGATGTGGAGAGCGGTTGTTTGCTGCAGAGTGAACCCGCTTTACGGCTGCGGGCGCAGGCTTGGTCCCTCTTGTAAGATGTGGTCAGCGTGTACCAAACTCTTGACCGCAGGGTTTCTCTTTGGGCGCAATATGTCATCATGCAGTGCTTTGCAGTGATTATGGTAGTGTACCTCTCCCATTATATCTTCACTCTCCTGCCACTGTTTTGGCTTGTTTGGCCACCAGATTTCATTCATATACAGCTCAGTCATAGAACCAGCAGGTACGTCCTGCACATCAGCTTTAACTGATACGTTTCTGTGCCGCGAGGTGCTCGTTCCTCCAAAACTAGGCTTCAGGAGGAGGCAAGCGGTGTTTTCACACATTTGTTTGCTGTAAAGTTACAATGAATATTGTTTAAATCTTGCATAAAAAGCAATAACTTATTCAGGCCAAAAAGGCATCATTTCGCCAGCATTTAACAAAACCAAAACAATTTTTGGGCTGGTCTCAGTAAATCTCTCTTCCCAACCACTTATCACAATTTGCAAACCAACTACCATTAGTGGTTTTACTGCGGGGTATGCCCCCCTACTTTATGGCAAGAAAAAAAAAAGAGTGTGGCAGCATATTACTGCAGAATGATGGGTTTTGTCACCATAGTTGCAGGCCAGGAGCAGATTAACCTTGTACAAACACTTTTCATGTTTGACTCAAACAAGGTTCCAGAAGCCTGAAACTATATCTCAATTATGCCACTTTTAGTTGTGAATAAATATTGACTTCCCCTGTAGTGTGCACAAACATGTCACTTTTTTATTTGTCTTTCAAAGTAAATGTTTGACAAAGAAGATCCACATCAGAAAATATAATTCAGATCCCCCCGACCTCACKGAGTTGAATTGGAGCGAATTCAGCCGTCAATCAAATTGGGGTGGGGGGCTCTGACCCTCATCGCTTTGGGTGTAACTTTGTTGTGTTTAGCTCAATGAAATGCYGCCTCTCTGCCCAGCTCTATATAGGGAAAAGGAATTTATTTAAGCACAGACTTGTGAACCGCAGCCTATAATGAGTCTCTCATTTAGGTTTGGGATGCCTGTTCAGATGCCCTGATCACATTCGATAAGGAGGACCTGCTCGACGAGATGGCGTACATCGTGGAGAATGACATCGTTGTGGCCGCCATCACCAAACAGCTGGACGCTCTGTCTGGTAAGGACAGGATGCATGAATAAAACATAAAGTTCCATCCGCACAGTAGCGTTATTTATTTCCCATCTGCCTCGGAGTCTGGCGCCTAATGTCGCCGCATGTATCCCTTCCTGTCCTCAGGTTGTGTTTATTTGTCTTCATGATTGTTTTTAAAGACAAGCTCTTGGATCGGTCCATATTTTTCCTCCCAAGTTTTGGGAGTGCCGAACCTTGGCTCGCTCTGAGGACACGTGAAGTGGTCCAGTATTTAGAGCTGCCATGTGCTCCTGAGCTGTGCCACCTCCCAACACACAGTCAGTGACAGTGTGAAGTGTTGCGTTCCTGTTGACATCGGACCAGCAAATAAAACTCAGCTCTGCCGTGTGTATGACACTTTGACTGGCATATTTATAAACAGGTTTTTTTTTTTGCCTCATTGCTCCAGTGTGTCCGCTCCTCTCTGTCATTCTCATTTTTAGCTGTCGTGTTGTTACGCAGAAGATGCACTACATGAAGTGTGCGGTCCTCTCCAGCTGTTTTAAATGTAACCCTGCGCTCCAATAAGAGCCATATTCGACATCCGCACTGCAAGAACCAGGAGCTGCTCTGCGGACGGGTCTCGCTCCAAGTCGGCACGAGCCAAGCTTCAAATCCTTCCATGTGTGACATGTCCACAGGCTGATATTTTAGGAGCAGGGGCAGCTTTTGGTGTAAAATCTCAAAAACTGGAAGCGTCTCTGAAGAGCAGAGCTGGTAGATAAACACTATTAGTCGGCGTAATGCGGCAGGCCAAGACCATTAAGGAGATTGTCAAATGTGAAGCTTGGCAGCTAGCACGTGCCAGTGAGGGAAACCAGTGGTGTTTTATGGGGTGGTTTATAGATCTTTCCCCACATTGGCTGAAGGCTAGCCATCCTTTTTTATTTTTATTTTTTTCGAAAGCACTGATTTAGTAAGATGATTCATTCATCGGGCCAAATTTATCCCTTTTGAAGTAAAAAGGTCACACATCTTGACTTTTTATTTTTAGATCCCAGCTTTCTTTCCGCTCCTTCTCCACAGTAGTCACTCGCTGCTCTGCTTGTCTTGTTGTCAGATAACGTGCACGTTAAATACAAATCTAAAGTGGTGAAGTATACATGGCCCCTGCTCCACCACACAGCAGACTCCATCCCGTGGGTGCAGGTCACTTTGGCAAACGGAGAGACTCATCAAACGAAGCTTCTGGTAAATTTAATGTTCCCTCATAAAAGCTGTATTTTCCTTTTGTCTCTCGGCTTTTGATTTTTTTATTTATTTACTTTTTTACTTTTGATTTGTTTCGCAGATCGGTGCTGATGGGCCAAACTCCATGGTGAGGCAAAAACTAGGAATTCCCACGGTCAAGTGGAACTACGATCAGTCTGCTGTAGTTGCAGTGCTGCACCTGTCAGAGGTGAGTTTATAAGTGTGTAAAATAATGTCATATATTCGTCCCAATGCCTCCACACCTTTTTGAACATCTTTTTTTTTAATTTAGATTAAATATAGCCATGCAATGTATTGTAACAAAACTGAATCAATGTATTTGTGTTGCAGCCTACAGAGAACAATGTTGCATGGCAAAGATTCCTCCCAACAGGACCCATTGCAATGTTACCGGTGATTCTTTCATATATACTTTTTGCAAAAGCTCCATTTTCCTCACACATAATCCACCTGTCATTTTTATTTATTTTTTAAACTCCACTGATCCCTCTCTCTTTTACACTGCAGCTGTCAGACACAAAGAGCTCTCTAGTGTGGTCAACAAGCCCTCAGCTCGCAGAGGAGCTGCTGGAGCTGGACGAGGAGAGCTTTGTGGACGCCATCAACTCTGCCTTCGTGAGTCTGGCCGCGACCTTTCAAACTGCTGTTGCTGCATTCACAGTCACGTTTTAAAGCCTGTCAGCAAGGTGCTGCAAGATTTCTGGAGGTGTCCGGGATTCTCCAAACACCCACGTGTCGAGCCGTTTAGAGTGACTCACCCAAACAACTCGGTCATTGTTTAGCCCGGTCTGTACACAATATTTCCCTGCAGGAATGATGCACCTAAACATTTTTTTTTTTACGTTTGGAGACGCTCCGTTTTCCCAAGCTGGCTATTTTTACTTGGCCTGCTGATGGATGGGGTCACCACGGTTGAGTCACGTTTTGGTTTCAGGCCTGGTTTGCTAATTAAACCTGTGGTCTCCCAGTGTCGACCATTACTGCATGGAATGTTTTTCAAACAGAGCTAATTCAACTGCGTAGCCTGGCCGGCATCTTCTTTTAATTAGCCCAGCTCCCGAGGTCCCTGCCAAACCAGTTAGTTAGGAAGGAAAGTGGGGGAGGGGGTTCAGCTTTGCTCCTGTGTCAGCTAAATTCTCTGTCCACAAAAAAGGCTAATGTCTGTTTTCTCTCTCTTCTGCCCAATTCTCGTTCTTCTTGGCACATGCGCGTGCATTCGCGGACAGTGGAGTAATGAGAACCACTCGGATCTAATTGAGACGGCTGGCTCTGTGTTCCGGGGCACCCTGTCGGCCATCATGCCCTCGGCGGGCTCCCCTCGACAGCTTCCACCGAGCGTGGCAGGGATCGACCCGAAGAGCAGGGTCATGTTCCCGCTGGCTATGGGTCACGCCGCGGAGTACGTCAAGCACAGGGTAGCACTTATTGGGTAAGATGACGACACAGACCTCACATTACTGCTTTTCAGAAGTGGTTCCTCATGTGTCAGATGCATTGAGAGGTCACTTTTAAGACGAGAAGCAGCATGAAGTCTACTGAAAGGTTTTCGATTGTGGACATTTTTTATTTATATTTGCAGGGACGCAGCTCATCGTGTCCATCCGTTGGCGGGTCAAGGAGTCAACCTGGGATTTGGGGATGTGGCTTGCCTCACTCAGAAGTTAAGCCAGGCAGCTTTTAATGGAAAGGACCTGGGTCAGTGTGAGGAGAAAAAAAAAACACAACTCAGTGGTTTCCTTTGTTTTTTTCTGTTGCCACAGCTTGAACACTGTTGATTTAACCTTTAAGAAAGCAGCAGGTTGTACGTTGCTGCAYATTTGTTTTTTCATTTGTCCTCCCTCTTTAACTTCTGCTCGTGCAGGAGCGATACAGCACTTGTTAGAGTTCGAGACCGAACGCCAGCGGCACAATCTGCCCATGATGGCTGCAGTGGACCTCATGAAGCGGCTTTATTCCACCGACGCGGCTCCTGTGGTTCTCCTACGCACCTTTGGTCTGCAGGCCACCAACATGCTGCCAGCTTTAAAAGTAAGCCTCAACTGCAGCTACATCACAGCCAACCTGGACCTCACTGCGATCAAATCAACCCACCTGTCAAACCTAAGTCCCGCCCACACCACGACCCCACCCTCTACCCTCTCTCCTGATTACACGGAGCTTTACTGTAGCCGTGTCTATAATTTTAAGCGTTTCAACCTACTACTATGGCATCTAAGTTTAGCCCCAAATTTGGTGTTACCAAAAGTGTGTGGGTGGGGTAGCACGGCTGGCCCCGGGGCAGGGGACAGTGGTGTTGGCTTGCGTTTTCACACTCCTTTTATTACCCACCACTCGTGAAATGGTTTTATTTCCTACTAAGTGATTCAGACCAACATAACTGTAACTGGTCGCAGAGGCGTTTCACTATCGAGTTTAAAGTGACATTTTTCCATATGAAACGCTGAGTTCAGAAGTTTACAGGTCCCGTTTAGGGCTTGAAGTGCCACTCACTCATAAAAAGGCTGTTTAAAAGCACGATTCGAAGGTTGCACCATCTTTAAACTCCTGTTTCTTCTCTCTCCTCGCAGGAGCAGATCATGGAATACGCGAGCAAATGATCAACCTGCAGAGATCTTCGTTTTTTGAAGGATCAGCAATAAATTAAGCTTTAAGAGCCATAAAAGATGTCAATGTAAAGAAGTATAAATGAAAAACTCTTGATGTTTTAGTGTTTACTTTCATTATTTATGCTTTTTCATTACATCTATGAAAAAAGTTGGAATTAAACAATGAAACAGTAAGCACATTTTTCACATTTTATTAAAACATACATGTTCGGTAAATGCATGTGACAAGATTTATTAAAAACAGTTTATCAGATTATTGACACTAATGGTCAAAGATATTTCTCAGCGGCACAAGTTTTTTATGATGAAGCTGTTCCTGCCAAATAATTTCACTAAGTTTACATTGTGTATATACAGCAGTAGTAAGTGAATATGTTGAATATTGAGAAGACAGCATACTGTAGGCAAAATGTTCAAGAGTGATTATTGGATAAGAATAATAAAAATACTCTTACGTAAACTTTCCATTTTTTTACATTTGTACAATTCACAAGAAAGATGGAACAACAAAGTGAAGGAGGAATATTTTTCAGAAAGGTTTTTCTTTTTTTTGTTTTTAACAGAACTTGTTTAGTTTTCCATCAGTTGGTTGTAGTTTAAGCTGTTGGGTGCACATCTGCCCTTAGCGAGTGGTTTCTTTATTGCTAATTTAAAATACAGTTCAGGCCCCTGCTTTAAGGTTTCCAATCTAAAATAACAAAAACTGACTGCATCTTAAAACAACACCCTCTGTGAGAGGCTTCATTTGCCCCCTCCTGAATCATGGTGAACCCAACACTCATGAAGAATATGTACAACTCTGTAGAAGAAACCGAAGCGACTGTTCATGTCTCGAGCTACAATATCTGCAGTTAAAGTGTTTTGTGCAAAGTTGAGGGAGGGGGAATTTAAAAAAAAAGATGCTGCATGTTAGTCAACTGCTCTGTTTCCAATGATGTCTTACTTGTTTAATGCTAAGAGCAAATTAACAAGGGTGCTGTAAAAAAGAATTACTGCCGTAGAAAAGAGAAAATGACTTTACAAGCATCTAGAAAGACAATTGTGGTTGCAACTCCAGCAAATAGTGTCTAAATTTACTCCACTACGCCGCACGGCGCACACCAGGACCACAGTAAGCACCAAAACACCAAGACTCCCTGCCTTCAAAATACCCTCTACACACTTTACAGGCTGGCCAGGGATGGTTTTTCAGATCTGCCACCCATAAGGAATCAAAACATGTAAACGTTTTATAAAAAATATAAGTCAGCCCACCCATTGTGAACTCAAAATACAGTAGAAAAAAATGGCCTTATAAAAATATAGTGATTTCTTTGTTTCTTTTTTTTATAACAGTTCTTGAAGTGTTTGCAGGGTGATGAGGGGAGTGGTGGGTGAGGAAACCAGGTGGGAGTGGATAGATTTGAGGGTGAAAGGAGGCCCCACAGTGACAGACTGTCCCTCTCAGTGCCAGCTGCAACGACTGCCAGCTGTTCTTATTGGATGTTGAAGTTTCTGAAGAAGTCGAAGGTGGCGCCGAGGGCCCAGCTCGTCTCCACGTTGTTCACTTTCTTGGCCAGCTGTTGAGTGAAAGAAGAGGTTCTCCGTCAAAAACCGCATTGGAAATATTTTCTCTTAATGCACACCTTTCTGTCTCTTACCTGCAGCACGGTGCTCTCCTTGAAGCCGAAGCCCTCCTTTAGCAGGCAGGTGATATATGTCATATCCATGCAGAGGAAGGGGCTGATTGCGCCATATTTGGTCATTTTGTTGCATACTGCAAACAAAAGAACAGGTTCTGTTAAATAAATACAATCATCTTTACCAAAAATGCTCCACCTGGTAAGAAAAAGAAGAGCTTTTCTAACCCCAGTGCTACATGATTACAAGATGRCCTTTTCTGTTTAGCTTGGTTGGATAACCATGGAGGTGTGAGCAGTGCGGCTGAGGGTCAGCACGGGGGCTGCGGGTGGGCGAAACGTGTGTGTGTGTGCGTGTCGGTGTGTTTGAGCTTCCAGGTGGCGTGTGGCTGTCAGGTGCCCTTCTGCCTGCAGACACCTTCAGCTCGGCGTCGAGCTAGACTCACTCCATGAGACAATGTTCTCACAAACCAAACTGCCCTTTTATAGACACGCCAAGTCATTCCTACGAACTATAAACAAGGTTCTACAGTGCAACTATCAGAGGGGGAAAAAACAGGTTATCCCTCCTTAAAGGGCCAGTGACATGATTATTATTCAAATACAAAAGTCAAAGAAAACATCTTTATATTTAAGAAAGTTGGAACAATACACACRATTTTACCAATTTTGTCCCTTAACTGGCATGTTTTCTTTTGAACTTGGCTCAGCCAAAGTGAWACAGGAAGTGACATCAAAGGGGAACTCTTTAATAAAGAAAGCTCCCTGGTCTTTGTTTATTGAAACAACACTATTTGAACTCTGACTCGTCTTCATCTCTCTCTGATAGTGACTCAAAATAATCTTAAGAAACATCAGATTCTTCTCTACAGTTTGTATTATTAGCTGTTGTAGCAACACTCTGTTCACATGCAGACATTCCTCTTTGACATCACTTCCTGTTACTTWACTGGCAAATATCTCAACAAYTGTTCATCTCAGCAACATGAAATTTCTTTTGCAAAATTTTATCACTGTCCTCTTTTTAAAAATGCATTCATATGTATTACAAAAATTTGATGTCACAGGCACTTTAAGGGTCATTTTGACCCAGGAACAGCAGGAGGGTTAGACCTACCCAACCACTAATCATTTTAGTTATAACCTCTCACCTTCTTTGGCTTTCTTCTTAAAGTCTCTGACTTCGACCGCACCACCTCGGTTGCCTTGTGTGCAGAAAACAAGCATGCAATTAGATTTGTGCAAGAGATTATAATTAGCATAAAAGATAATGAAAGGTGCCACTCACTGACGAGGCCCGTTTCCACAGCTCTGTCGTAATAGTGTGAGAAAGCGTAGAAGACGCTGCTGCCCTTCACTTCATACGGCTGGTGGAATAAACCTTTGATGACCCTTTGGACCTCGTAGTAGCACAATTTGTAGCCTGCGTAGCCTGAGGGCAAGATAAGAGAGAAGACACATTAAAGTCTGAAGAATGGTTTTACTTGACACAGCTGCAACAATGGCTGGAATGCAACCAGGAGCCTGACTCCGAGGTCAGCGGGCGGTTTTGAAAGCTTAGGGGTTCACCAGATTATATACGAGGGAAGCCCCAGAAGGACAAGTTTCACACGGCCCCAAGAGTACAGCCGATTCAATTGTGCCGGCGCAAACCAAGCGCTGACAAGAGCGGCAGTTAGCGTGGCCCTGTTGTGCTGCCTATTTTTTACCACATAATTGTGAGCAGGCCAGATCAAGCTGCTCTTTACACACCGAAAAAAATAACATGTCAGGGACAAGCCCGGCATCTTTTGGCTACTTGACTGTGGTATGGGAGGGACTGCCTTATTTGTGAAGTGAACTGACAGCCTTCTTTTTCTTTTAAATACAAGGTTGATGACAAGATAATTGTTCAAGTGGGAACACAGAGAAATGGAGGATGACAAAACATGTGTTTGGTGCCAAGATTAAAGGGACTTCGGCTGATATATGCTCTCATGTGAGTTTGTATTGTGCTGTACTCTATTGTGTTGCTGAGCTGAGAGAGGAATGTGGGAATTGTTTGGGCCCAAGGCACCGGGACAGCATTCAAAACCGCAGGAAGCTTTTATCTTACCGCCTGGAATCCCGCTAACTTTGTAGGTGCTTCCTGCAAAAGTCACTTCTTCTCTGAATTTTTTCGGGAGGCAGGAGCTTGTGAAGATTTTCCAATCCAGGCCTGGGAAAACAAAAACAAGAGAAGAGCGTTTGGCCTCGCGTTGAACTTTTTCAAGGCAAGGTGAGAACAAGGACAGGATACTCTACCATCAGCTCCCAGAGCTCCAAGAGTTGCTAGGCGGGCCGCGACTATGCCATTTCCAAGGTAGCTATTAAAGGATGACACAAAATATGTTTTGGCTCTCAAATCTCAAGAAAACATACATCAGCATAATTTGGTTTGGGTTTTTACCTGTGTGTGTAGAGCTCGTATGTGTTGTTGAACAGGTTGAAGCTGGCGGTGTAAGAGGGTGGAGCTGTTTCGATGGTTTTCTGTTGAATTAACGAGACATTAGTGATTTTTTTTGTTAATATTAAAAGGAAATGTGTTTAAAAACCACATCAAATATTTAATTCACCTTTGATTTTGGAAGGAATGTGATCTGTGTGGATCCTCCGCCCAAATCCAGAATTCCGACAGTTCTTTTTGTGTTGGAGTACAGATGGCCTGGGTGAAGCAAGCAGAAGACGAAACTCTTAAAACCAGTTTGAAGGCATTTAAGCAACAATTTGCTTCATTTAAAAGTCCCAACAATCAGAATGGTGTATTTTAAAGATCAAATTCTAGAAGAGAGAAAATCTCTTGTTTTAAATAAATGAAGCAATGTGAACAGTTTTTGCAATCTGTTTGGAGCCCGGTCGTTTAAATACATCTCCAGAAAAGAGACAAGTCTTTCACTGCAGGGCTAATGTGCACACAGGTGCCTCCTAACCACTAACACCACCATAGCAAAACACTTACCAGTAAGGAAGTTCACCGTGACCCAGGCAAGGACTCCTAAAACCACACAGACACATAAAAAAAGGTCTGAATTAGTCAATTCCCCACGAAAGCTGAATGTGTTGAAACACAATAAAGACAAGTTTTAGAGGAGATTGTTGAGATTCTTGTAAAGAGATTTACTAAAGAGCCACTGTTTTATATGGACAGGTAAAGAACAAATTTATTTTTTTACCTTCCTTTGCTCCATTCATGATAGAAACACATTTTTCTGGCACATAGAAAGGAGATTCTTCAAACACCTCTCGTACCTGTGGAAAAGATTCAGTTTTGTTTAGATTTAAAAATCCACTGAATGAGTCACAGTTATTAAGACTACATGCTTAAATATTTTTTCTGCTGCCTTTGCCCCTATCGTCTACTCTTATGCTGTATCTTCAATGGAAAAAAAATTGTCTTTTTACGTTTAGAGATTTTTTTATGTGAACTTATTGCCTTTGGGTGTTTTAGAGTGACAGATAACCAAGCCACAAACATGGCTGGAACAGCAGCCCGTATAATACTTAAAATACCAAATATGGTTGCTCCGCACAACCCAACAACAGCTGTTCTTTCCTACAGGATAGCCACCAAATGGGCAGACTTGCTGCCTTTTTCGTTTAGTGACACTTGTAAGCACTTAGTGGTTTTCTCATCCCGATCCCTGGTGGGACGGCTGCTCCTCGGGCCAAACTGTGTTGAGGGCAGAAGCGGAAGACGTGCCTCACCTCATCCAGCAGGGCATTGGCCTTTTCTACGGGCAGCAGCCGCAGGCCCGCCGTGGCTTTCAGGACCACTGGTGTCCTTTTCCACTCCTCCTCTGGCACCGTCTTCTTGGCAATCTTCAGCAGCTGACGGATGGTGTTCCCACCCTGCAGAATGCAACGAAAAGATGCTTCATCCTCTAACCAAACCATTTTTCCCCCTTTCGTTTTTTTAAGAGAAACTCAAATATGTGCATGACTGAAGAGGAATCCTTGCATCACATGAACCCAGCCCAAAGAAAATCCAAGTGGTTTAGTGGTGAGCAACTCCCTGCTACCTGAAAATGAGTGATGGATGGATTTACATACCTCTTCAGGGTTGTCCTTATATTCAGACAGTCCAGGTTTCACAGCGTGGAACATTTCATTGTCCAGAACTGGCAGTTCAACTAAAAAAAAATTAAAATAGAATAAAAAGTCAGGGAACAGATCATAGACCCTCTAAAATAATAATAAAAAGTCTTACAAGGTTTAATACTGTTTTTATGAGTCTTTTTAAAACCAACTACTCAGTTTTACAAGTTTTAAAGCAGTGCTTCCCACACAGTTGAGTCAGACAAGCTAATTAAAAGTCGTCCTCTGCTACTTTTAGACTGCACTCCCTGCCCTGGCACCGCGCAGAGCGGGGAGGCGCAGGCGCGGCGGCTGCGACAAGTGCGCATCCCCTGCTCCGGCCACAGCTTACCTGGATCCTTCTGAATGAACTTGTAGATGTGGATCCTGGTCCCGGTGCTGCCGGCGTCAAACATCACCCCGTAGAACACCCGCGGCGTGGTGAAGGGCTCGTGCGCGGCGGCGGCGGGGTGCTGCGCCTGGAACGTGTGGAGGGTCTCCGGGGCGGGGTGCACCACCTCGGGCACCGGGTGGAACGCCTCGGGGATCTGGTGGACGACGGCGGGGGCCGGGTGGAAGACCTCGGGAACGGCGGGCCGCGCGACTTCGGGCGCGCGGTTGGACACGTCCGGCAGGAGGTTGTCGGTGTTGCTGGCCGCGGACTCCCGGTAGCGGTAGTGGGGGACGTAGCGGTGGTGGCGGTAGTAGGTCGCCTCCGCGCAAAGGCTCCCGGCCAGGAGCCACAGAGTGAGGATGAGGATGGCCATTGTGTCCAGAGCCCGGGCAGGAGGAGGTGGAGGAGGAGAGATGCTGGAGGCTGAGAGAGGAGTGGAGACGGAAGGAGGCAGAGTGGATGCAACACTCGGGGCTGTCCGGTCATCACATCACCCTATTTAAAGCCATCAGGGCCTGGCACGGAGCCGCGGGGAGAGCAGCCATCCACCAATCCTGGGGCAGTCCATCCCAAGTCCCCCTCCTCCCCTCCACACCCTCCAAAGAGAGGACTCACTACCTGCAGCCTCCCCCCTTCTTTTTTTTACATAATTAGATTTATTTTTGGCTGTGTCTCTCCTCCTCTTATTTACTGCTTAATCTGAAGCCAAATGGGGGTGAAAAAAAAGTAGAAAGGAGCTTTCTAAAGATGTAAAAAATAATTTATGCCTCTCAGTGATAGAAAAAAAAGGCCCTAAAATACTCATTAAAGGGTGTGCTTAAAAGCTTGTTCTGGAGCTCGACTGAGAAATTCCTTCACGCCGTCACTKTTGGAGCTTTTATAATTTCAGAAGTGTTTTAATTTTGTAGCCGCTAAAATTATGTGTGATGTAGATTTTTTTATTCCATTTCCTCCTATAAATGCCCATCTGATATATTTTTTTGTTTTCACTAAAAGTAAACATCTTCTAATGTTTGAACGTACATTAACTTTATTATTATAATTGTTTCTTCCTGAACAAAGTCATTTAGTGGCAACTTACTTAATCATTGGTGTAGATTTTCAGTTAGTCGGCTATGACAAAGTCTAAAAAGTTTTAAAACTTGTCTAATATTGTAGGCGTTTAGATTTAGGGGTGTGGGGCTTTAAACTGCTCTCTTTGTGCAGCTACATCCATGGGCCGATTTATTTCTCTCCCCTCCTTCCTGAGGATCATTAGGATTTTTCAATTAAACAGCATTTTTTTAAATCTATTTTTATTTATTTTTTTTTACAAAAACTCAAAGTCTTTCCACAGTTTTGCAACAATCTGCAGCTGTTTCATCAACCTTTTTTTAAAAAAAAAATGCAAATCTGACTTGCACTCCAGCTGCAATAAAAGTGAAAAGAATGTCAGCAATCATCTCACTCCTACTCATCTCTTCGTTAACCACAGGGTTTCCAAGGGTAAAATATTTAGGCTGCGAGGCACGTTTCACGAGAGAATGCACGAAAAGCACGACTTTCTCCACTTTTAGGTGGGATTTTGGATCCTTTAAGGCCGCCTTCTCGTGCAGGAGATCCCCACAGCAGGGGAGGAGAGAGGTTTAAAAAGAAAAAGAAAAACCAAACACATAAACCTTATATGAACTGAAAATTGTGCCTGGCTGTGATATTTTTCCACCCACTTTGTATCAACAGAGAGATGACAGAGTTCTGAAGCAAGGAGTCAACAGGAACATCCCTGCAGAACTGACCCGGCCTCAACTCGCTGTTCGGACTCGTGCAAAGACGTGGTGCTGATGGTCTTCCCTGCCAGGAGGGCAAAAAAAGGGGGTGGGGGGGATGAGGGGCAGAGCTGATGTCGATGAGCACACACACACACACACACACAGAAAAAGTGCAGGAAGTCCACGGTGAGGACAATGTGGGGAGGGTGGGGCTTGGCACCAGCCTGTGCCCTTCATGCCATTCCACTCCCTGGACACTCAACTGTGCAAAGCACTGTTCCAACGCTGTAATTTGGACTAAAAATATTGGACTTTCTTTCCTCCTTTCCTTTTTTTGTAAATACTGTGGCTCCCTTTTTTTTTTTTTTTTTTGATTTTGTGGCTCACCAGAATGGTCGTTCGCCCTTATCAAAGTGTGCATGTGCAGAACCTCTCGCTGACTTGGTGCTCGTGGGTCTTTAACTTCCTAAAACGGTGTTAATGCATCCTYCGAGAAAAAAAAAMCCCTCAAATGTTTCATTTTGGAGTTAATTTTAAAACCTTCTGAAGTACGTACAAACAATTCCTGAGCGTAATGTTGCGATTAATATGTAGAACGTGCAATATTTGGATAGCAGTAATCCACTTAAGTACAGTGGTTCTGCCAGGAATCACACCTTATTTAGTCTTAACATACCTGTAATCATTTTGTAACTGTAAAGGGATGCAACAGCAGCTTGGCTCTAAATAAAAAAAAAATGACTCAAGCTTCCAAATCAAACAACAKCGATATGTAGAAACGTGTTTATATTTGTTGAAAGAGCGTGTAGAAAAAATGCAATACTGAAGTGGTGCAAGAAGTTTAACCATTATACATGTCGAAGACATGACACAGCACAATACACACACACCTACACACACGCGCGCTGCAATAAACTAGAGTCCGTTTCAAGGTTTGGTATCTTGTTTCAAGTTAACTGAAACCCTAAAAGCACGAGAAAAGGCCCCAGCTTTGTAATCTACACTCTGCTGTATATCATTAATATGCTGCAATGTTGCCCTCAGGAATGCCATGTTTGTGGGTGTCCTACACCAACAAGTCCATTGAAGAGGCCCAAACCTTGTCATTACAATTCCAGTGATAATGACAGCTTTGAAAAGCTCAGGGTTATTTCAGTTTTCTCTCCTCACTGTCATAGCAATTACCTTTAAATTTAGTCTTCAAACTCTCTCCGTGATGCTAGAGCGCAGATCGACCCTATATGATTCAGTTTACAGTAGCTACACCCAACACGCTTCCAGTTTTGTGTTTAATTTTTTTTTCTTCTTCTTTGATAAATAATCAACTCTGGACACTCAGGCTCCTGCTTGCAGGAAGGCTGAACAAGATGACGGAGAGAAATTTAGCGGTTTCGGCCTGAATTATAACCTGCCTTTACATTGTTTCTGTTGGACGGGCTCCTTCGAAGATGTAAGCCAAGCTGCACTGATCTCAGTGCTTTTCCCATAACTTCGACAGAAAACAACGGCCAGGATGGCAATGGGGAATAAACACAGTTCTTTTTAGGACAACACGAACAATACTGCTGACGGGAGCCAAATGTACCTCATGTTATCATGTGGGAAGAGACCGTGTGTAAACAGATCCTGTGTGATGGAGCTGCAGCGTGAGAAAACTGTAATTACAAGAAAAGTGACATACAGCCTGTCTTGAGAACATGCATCTGACTCCCGTGAGCTAAAGTGATTGGTTTATTGACAGAGACAGAAATATACAGTCCTAGCAAAACAAATAAAACAGATTTTAAATTCAGGTTTTTGCATTTAAATCTTAAAAAAAAAACAACCAAGCACAGTCTTTGAAAAACCAATCTGTCCGCATCAATCTCCAGACGTGTATTTTACCTGCTAAAGCGGAGATTGACGGAGGAAATCCTTCCAAAACAAACAACTGAATTAAAGGTTTAAGGTTTAGGCCCAAAGAAAGCATCACAAAGGAAAATTGCAAAACTTTGGTGAAGTCATCTGTTTGCAGGTTTGCATGCAGTCATTACAATTCAAGGATTTGCGAGCAGTTTCACTCACTTTTTCCTAATTCAGGCCTAGCCGCTGTACTTTCTCTCTCTGTGTCGTCTAGAGACGCTGTAGTAAAAGTTCTGTAACCTAAATGAGGATTTATTGTTTCAGATGTCGTGCAAAATGGGTTTTAGTCAGGGCTTTTGGAAAGAATTTGGTGATACGATACATATCACAATACAGGGGTCACAATATGATACATCACATGATATTGCAATATTGTAAGCGAGGCGAAACACTTTTTTCTCCGGAAGATTCAATTTTTTAAAATGCAGTTTAAAGAGCCCACCATGCTTTACATGCATACAATCTGATTAAATTCTGTTAATGTTTATGCAATCAGAGGAAATCTGAACAGTGAGAACTGCATTTGTACTTCACATTTCTTCTTACATCCATGAATAAAGCTTGGACTGAAAATGAGTATGTTGCTTTTGAGAATATACACTACCAGGAAATGAAATATCGCAATATATCAGCAATTCCATATTACCTCATGCCCCTAGTTTCAGTGCAGTTCCATGAAATTTTGGAGTTGGCTGGAAAAAAAGCACAGTTGCAACCAAAAGTTAAGACATAAACAAATGTCAGGCATGTTTGCAAAGAAATCAATGAATCCATCTATCTCAGAAGCACAGATACCACCATGCTTAGACAGCTGGTACAGTGTTCCTATAGGTTTTAAAGCCTGCCTTGAATCAGGGTCACTAAAAGGCCTTGGCCTTCAAATTTAAAGACTTCGTAGAACCTTCTGCCTCACTTATCACTATTTTTAGGTGAATATGTTGAGCCCCGTGCAAAACAGCATTTCCCGTTTTCWATAATTAACTTCTGTTAAGTTAAGATCTATAAGTTGAACCTGGACATGTTTGGTTTCGATAGAAAGCTAAGAATCTTGGCTAAAATTTCATGGAAACTATTGAAGGAAATTTTGTAACTGATTAATGAGCAGAGCTGCTCTGTTTTGTTTGGGTTTTTATCTCAAGCTCTTACGCTGGCCTACTGAATACTGTGAACCTGACTGGAGTCAGAAGATTGCAAATAAAGTTTTAAGAAGAAATCCAGCTGATTCCTGTTTATTCGGACATATAATTTTGAACAACGCATGTTATATTTACATTTACCAAACACAGTTCAAATGACAAGCAGTTGAATCAGAAAGTAAACAAACTGTACAAAATKGGATTGTTGCAAATCTGTAAAGGAAAAAAAATTGACATTTGTTTTTAAGCAATTCAAAGTAGATACCAAAATGTGTTGTAAAGTGTGTTGAAAGCTTTTTTTTTACTTGATTTTTAGTGAATGTGGTCCAACTGAAGTCAAATATAATTTCTCATCATCATTATATAATATATGTGGAGACAAAACAAATGTTTAGATAATCTTTCAAAAGAACAAACATTCAATAACAAGTATTTTCAGGCAGGTAAGGAAAAATAAATAAATTTTGCAATTAAAAACGTAACATTTATTGATGGTACCAGCATGGTTTGTCCTGTGCAGAATGACAAAACGTTAAATTATTTCTTTACTAAAACATCTGTAACTTTGCTACAGTTTATTTTAGCTGCATGAATCTTTGCACAAGAAATATCCACATGTGGGTTTGTGGTTTCCAAGAGTTTTAGCCTGATTCATTATGGTTTTAAATGTTCTATTGTCTAATGAAAAAAATATTCAGACGGGAGGGAAATCTTTTTAAAAAATGATGCTCCATCCTCAATATCTCTAAAACAACAGCAGATGTTTTAATACTTACACTTCTAATAAAATCTCCAAAGTGTTAGCTTTATTTTGATACCAAAATTATTTATTATTAGAGTTTGTAAATGCTGAGATACACTCAGTTACATTTCAGCATGGTATTTCAAGCAAAACCACTGGGGGTGAAGAGGTTAAACCATGAATGTGTAGCTGGGATTCAGAAAAAAATATAGTTTGTAGAGCCAATTATTTTTTWAAAACATCAATTAAGTTGTACTATGTTGTATATAATCATTCCACCCTGAAAACAAAACTGCTGAAATAAATAAATCAACAAAGGCCCCACATGATGAAGAGTGCTTGTAACTCTATCTATGGCTGTAGTCTGATATCATGCATCTCCATGTCAACAGTCAAACAAACCTTGACAGCTTCTTCTTCTCTGCCTCTCTGCTTCCTCAGTGGAGTTAAAGTGTCGTAGCGGTGATGACGCCGAAAGCCCCCAAAGTGAAGCGGGTAAAAGGCGGGTAAGTGTAGCTGGAGCTCTGCTGATACGTTCACGTGCAAACTTCTGCCACAGTTTGTGTTGTTGTTGTTGTTGTTGTTGTTGTTGTTTCATCTGGTCCCCAGGAAAGGAAAGAAAAATGGCAAACACAATTCCAAGCAGGAGAAGGAGTCGGACGTGGAGAGGGTCAGGGCCAACACGGCTCTCTGGGAGCTGCGGTTAAAGGTCACCCACCAGGACCTGTCCGAGTGTCGGGAGGAGCACCACAAGCTGGCCCGCGTCAACGAGCAGCTCAGCAACCAGCTGCGTCGAACCGAGAAGGACTCCATCGACATGACCGGGTTCTGGCAGAAACAGGTTGAAGAGAGGGATGATGAGGTCTGACTTCCCTTTTCACTCATGTATAGTATGTGTTAAACAAAAATGTGTTTGTATGTTATAATGAGGAAAATTGTTGAATTGAGTGAATAAACTTATTGATTGATTGATTGATTGATTGACTGCTGGAGACCAGTTTAAATCTGTAAAATAACAATTTATCTGGGCAATTGTCTTGGGTATGGAAGCCCATTTCCGCAACCCTGATTAAAAAAAAAATGAAACTTGTATCTCATAATTATGTTTTTTTTTTTGTTTATTTTTTCTTCAGAGTGGCAGATATGAGCGTTCATAGTTTTGCATAAATGTTATGTTTTTGAACAGTGGTGTCCAAAGTCGGTCCTCAAGGGTCGGTGTCCTGCATGTTTTAGGTGCTGCCCTGGTTCAACACAGCTGAACCTAGGAGTGCTTAATTAATGGGCCTCTGCAGACCTTGGTGGCAAACTGAGAAGGTAAATCATCGATTTGAATCAGCTGTGTTGAAGCAGGGACAAATCTAAAACTTGCAGGAGACCGGCCCTTGAGGACCGGAGTTGGACATGCCTGTTTTAGAATYTAACACAGGCTAATTCATTTAGGCTTCTGTTGGTTTGATCCTAGCTACTTTGAAAGAAAATGTATAAATACTATACCTTGCCTAAAGTTTACAAGCACTACACCACTTCTCCAGCATCATTRAAGCGCCTGTGACATGCATATMAATGAAATACAAGAAGTCAAAGAAAATATATTTTTATGTAAGAAACTTGGCATAATACACATGATTTTACAYATTATGTCACATAATTGCCATGTTTTCTTTTGAACTTGCCTCAACTAAAGTGAAACAGGAAGTGACATCAAAGGGGAACTCTTTGAGAAAGAAAACAGTTTTTTGTTTACTKAAACAATATTATTTGAACYACGACTCTTTCTCATCTCTCTATGATAGTGATTAAAATAATTTAAAGAAACCTTAGATTATACTCTACAGTCTATTGTTAGCCATAGTAGCAAYGCTCTGTTCACAGTCAGACATTCCCCTTTGACATCACTTCCTGTTCCTTCACATGCAAGTATCTCAACAAATGTTCATTTCAGCAGCATGAAATCTTTTTTACAATATTTTATCAATGTTATCTTTCCGAAAATGCATTTATATTTATTACAAAAATTTGATGTCACAGACACTTTAATCCTCATTCTACGAAAGTGCTGAGCCCATGTTACCAAAAACTATGGCGGTCACGTGGTTGTTCGGCATTTGTTTTCGCACAGACATTTAGCCCTGAGCTCCTGGGAAACCCCTCCCGCTGAATACGTCACGGCATGGAGTTTCCTCCCGCTACAGYCAACAATGCAGAAATAAAAGTCAGACTCGTCACTCACCCAGTGTTATTTATCCACAATCTGTCCCGATTAAAGCTCCACAGTATTTATCAGTCAGATTCCTCAGTGCACAACGTCTGTTTTATCTCCATTCATGAGTTTTTCATGGTTTGACTATCTTTATAAAACTCTGCTTCCTGGTAATGACTCTGAAAGCAAGTCTTTTTTTTAACCGAGTGTCCGAGCGCTTTCAGCACAAACAAACACRCCCACAAACTTCAGACCAATCACACGTTACCGTYRTAGCGGGATGGGGGATAAAAAGTTCTGCTGGCGGGTTGTGCCAAAAGGGCCGGCTGAGTTGACGCTGAGAACACCGGTGAGGTAATTTTCGTCATGAAACTGYGACAATCCGTGCCGATTTCGGCAGTTCAGAGGGGATGTGAATGTGGCTTTACGTTTGCTATCTCATAATTTTGAGATAGCTAGCCTAAGTCATAATTATGAGATAGTATCTCATAATTTTGAGATACAGTAGCTCAGTCCAGTGGCGGATCTAGGATTTTTCAGTGTAATGGGCCATCAAGGGGCCACAATATTCATAGAGGGGCCAAGTGTTTGTTCAACATCCTTGCACACAAATCCCCAGTTTTTGTAAGGTTTATACATTTAATCAGTCACACGTGTTCAAACAACAAAGCTTGCACAGTAAATTCTCCTTATCAATTTTACACAATATTTTTTACTGTAAATAAATTAAATACTCTCAATCACACATGTGAGAAAATTTAGCCATCGTTGTCAGTAAAAACATTTTTTCTGCAGGATTGTTCAAATAGAAAAAGACTTCTGTAAGCTTGCTTCATGCTGGACTGTTCTATTTGACTCACTGGCACCTCTAGTGGTTGGAAATGGAACTGCAGCTGCCTACATTGTTCTTGGGCAAAGGCAGGGGCACTTCAGGGGGGCCAATCAGATTTCAGATGGAGCCAATGTCCCTGTGT